TAAGACATGAAAAAACAAATTCTAAGCAGCTAAGCCACAAAATACACTCCATTTGCATGTACTTATACACAAATGACAAGCAGAAGTAGCCCTTCTCACCACCTCTGTGACTGGCCAGTACCCTTCTCTAATCACCTCAGCCCTGCTCAGACAGATCTTTGCTGGGCGCCAAAGAGAGGAGCTGCTCAGGATGCAGCATGTCTTGCACAATGCTCGCTGCTGCTACTGAGGGCCTGGAGGCTGGGTGGTGCAGGTGGTCACCTTGCAAACAAATGCTGCCAGGTCTAGGGGCCACTGACCAGCCCCATGGCACCCAGCCCCAGTGCATCATCCTTGGAAGCGTAACACCTTGGACACCCTCCACAAACCAGGAATGACCCTCCTCCCTGATGGTCACAGGAGGCTGTAATGGAGCTATCCCCCTCCTCCCGAGCAGGAGAGGCAACACAAAGTCACACAAAGAACATCTGCCCTATCATCATGCTGCCTGCCTTCCTCCAACATCAGAGTGGTAGAGTACAACAAAATGTATCTATAAAGGGACTATGTGTTTTCACAGGAGGAACGCCAACTGAGATATGGTACTAGCTGCAGCAGTCACCACATGAAAAATCCCCTGTGGCAACACCCAGGGCATCTACACAGAAAATATCACAATCTAACATTTGAAAATGCCAAATCATATGCACTCTTCATAATAAGGTCTTTTATAAAAAGCTAGGGGAAAAGAGGAAAAAACCTACCCCACACTTAATCCTTGCAAGACAGAAGGTCTGTATGCGCTGGAGGCCAGGCAGTTTGCAGGTTTGTAATTCCATTGAGAATTTTCAAATGCCGGAGGAGGGGAGGAAAGATTCTGTATCGCCTTAGCCTCAAAGTATAGCTAAACAAGGAATTATACCTCAATTCAGGCTGTGTTTTCCTCTCACTATACATTTATCATCTCTAGCTTTCTTGCTTATAATTTATTCAGCTTACATCGTGCTATTTCTTTTTAATTCGTACGCAGGCCCTCTATAGACTCCTGCCTGACTCTTATTTTGAATATACTCTCATGTAGCAGCCAGACACTCATGAAAAGCCCTGTAACACGTTCACTTGGTATTCCCTATAGATGAAAAACAGCCTTAGCAAAGAAAATTAAGTTATAAGCTGTTTAGTCAGAATTCTTTTTAAGCCCCTGGGTATTTGTTGCAAAAATGGCATGACTCTTAAAGAACAACCAGTGTCATAATTCCTTTGAAACTTCTATTCCCCAGGCATATGGGTGTTGCACATGGGATCCTACTACATTAAATCCACTCTGTTGTTCTCTATTATTTTTCATTCATGTATCAAACTAAATGGTCTCACGTCTAATGCCCATCTAAAGGCAATGCACTATGCCTTCAATTAAACCCATGGATTATAAATTTCCCATTCAGGTTAACAACCTTGCAAGTAGTCAAACCCAGAGACCAAAACCTGACAAACTGACACTCACCTAAAACGAAGGGAACGGTATTGCCTCGAGGTGCTCAGAGAGATTTTCTCTTGAGTTGTCAAAACTAAATTACCAGAGGAGCTGCAGACTAAATTTAGACTCTCCAGGGCTGCATCCATCCATAACCTGGGGTTTTTGGCACATCACTACTACAGCAGGCATTCAGAAAGCTCAGGGGACACTGCACTTTGCTTGGCCTACTTAGCAGAGACAAAAACACATCTAAGACTCCCAAAGAATGCAAATACTTTATGACTAAGCCAGCCTCTTCTTTTGCTGCTCCTCATCCTAGAAGCTCTGTTCATGTAACTGGCAACTGGGGAATAGGCTGGTATTGCTACATCATATGCATTATCAAAGCTACTTCTCCACAGCAATGAGAGAAAGGTCTGATTGCTTTTTCTGTCATTATTATGAATTGTCGTGGTGAGCTTTAGGTACGTGCTGTATAAAGCCTTTATCAAAAGGCAGAATCTCACATTATTCCTTCTTGCTTAAGCTCAGAATGCTCAGAATTATTGCTAGGTTGGCTGCAAAACACGGGCACCCATGAGGTCTCATATGCAGGTGCTGAACACAAGCGTATGCCACATCTAGGTAGCTCACGCCTCCTAAAAATAATGCTTTCCAGCTTTTCATTCAGACTTAACCTTCCCCCTTTCCCTCCTCTGCTTTTTCTGGTCTTGCACTAAGGTTTTTCTGGCCTTCTGATTGCTCCTTATTAATATAAATGAACAAGAACTGAATAGTAATGTAACAGCATGACAAATCTTCATGCCCTTTGCTAAAAAAAGAAGAAAATGTCTATATGATTTTACAGTAGGTTATAAAAATTTAGTTACAGTGGCTCTGTAGCTCCCTGCTAATGCTGTGAAGTGCTTCATAGTTGTAAAGCGTTTCCCACATATTCCTTCCCTTTGAATTCCTGGGGAAATGCTCATATTTTATGGAAACTAACATTAAGCTGCATGAAAGCTGCCAATGCTTCCAGGAACATCAGCCAAAGGAATGCCAGAATGAATTACGTTGGTCATTCTCAAACTACAGTCCACATCATGCTTGCCGGTGCTCTTCCTGTCAGTTGATCATTTGTGCTACTGTCCCCGTAGTTTCCATCCTGTAAACTGTACTGTATGTACATTAAATAAAGTACTTTGAGGTTACATGGTAAACTATATATATATATATTAAATACAGAAAGATTCCCAAAGCTTCTGGTTCATCTATCTTCAATCCCTACACGTTCATGTCTTACATGTGAGAAACTGACTATGCGGTCTCAAATGGAAAGGACCTAGTCCATAAGACTACTGTGGTCTAGTGTCTGCTATAATCTAGCAGAGCTTACATTCATCTGCTCAGAGAATAAATTCCCTTGGACTACTGGGTACTAAAATGCTCCTTCAGGTAAGGAACTATTAAATCCCCATCCGAGATTGTAATGAACAATAACACAAACCTAATAACATGTAAGAATCAAGCTCAACTATCAAACCAAATGGCAAACTGCAAGTTTACAGCTTTGACCTGTTAAGATATGAATTTAAAAGCATCAGGTAACAATAGCAGTCAATAAAGTCCAGGAAGCTCTAAAGGAAGAAAAGATTTAATGGAGGAAGAGCTGAAATGAGACAACCCTTTTTCAGTTTTTCCCTTGTGGTGCGTCCCAAAAATCCTCACTGGATGTCACAGAAAAAGTTGTATAACAAACTATGTAATGAAATGGGACAGTGGCTTAGTGACAATTTCCATGCTTTTCTTCTGCCTGCCCCATCCAGCACAAGTCTCTCAATCTATTTTCTTAAATATCTTTAACTCATTGTACTCTGCATCATCTAAATCTTCTTAGATCACCTCTCCCCTCCCTGTCTTGGGAAAGATTTGGAGGTTTTTTGGTCTTTTTTTTTTCTGATTTTTTTTTTTTTTTTGCAAGCCCACACACATTTAACTAGTGGAGAATTCACTTCAAAAGCTTCCTTTCAACTATTTATGAGCATATAAATAGCTATACAGGAACAAGTCAATAACTGGTCTAGTATACTTCCTGTTTCAAACAATGGCAAACGTTGGGTATTTTGGTATAAAAATGTCCATTTTCTTGCATCTTTCTATAGCCTGATAAGCCTGTGTGCACGTGTATACCCATATGTCTCTATATATAGTTACACCTATTTTTACATAAGTGCACACACATCCCCACATGAATGCTTTCTTTATGTATAACTCAATAAAATACTTAGGCTAACTTCTGGGCATGTAAATGTAATAACAGCTAACTATAACATTTCAAGTTCAGTAACTCTTCAAAAAGTTATTTCTTGTGTTCTATGCCTTTAATTACTTACTTCATATCAGTTACTGACATGTACTTTAACCTACCCTTTCTCAACTTCAATTTTATAGTCATTGTGCAAGCCTGCAAGCATGCAAACCTGCTTCTGCAGCTAACAATTGTTTTTTAAGTTTTCAGGTGTAAGCTATGAAGCTATCATACTCCAAAGATTTTTCTGTACCTTTCAGGGGAACATCTCAGAAAAATTACCTATAATGGCAGGTAAATTCAAATATATGAATATAAGACCCCACTAATGCATTTCAGCTGGATCAGTAAATAGCTGAAATCTGGTAACATGGCTTCAGTTCTATGCACTCAGAGCATTGTCTTCTTAAGTAAGACATTCCCAGCATGTCAGTTGTCTGGAAATAGCAATCTAAGTTAGATCTCCTCCAACACAAACATCTTCAAATTTAAAAATCACAGTAGGAAATCAGAAAGAATCACTCCCTGAGGGCATCTGTATTTTCAGTGAGACATCAGCTTTTGTCTATGTCATTTCTACTCATCATCTAGTTACAGACCCAGTAGTTTAACACGTATCTTGTAGCTGCCACTCTGATTAACCAAAATGTCCAAAGTATTCAAACAATTACTCTTTTTTTCAAGGCTCATTACCAAAGTTACTTACAACAAGAGTTCAGTTACACTTACAGAGAAACAGGAAGATTTTCTTGACAAACTCTTAAAGCCCTTGCAGCAGCTAGAGGCTCTTTTCCTCAAATTCCTGCTGTTCTTCACAGTCATACTTCTGCTCTTTCTCTACAAACATCAGCAGGGATTTGAGTACTCTCACCAGGAAGAAAAAGGTGCCGGAGAATTTGGTTCAGATGGGGTGTTCGTTCTCTATTTGTCTCTTTTTCAGCTATGTCCACCCCAATAGCTTGAAAACACAATAGCTTATCAATGTATTATTTTCTTGCTTAGTCAATCTTTTTATCGCTGCCTGTGTATCTTCTGCTACATCTGTCCCGTTCACCTCTGCATTTGTTATGCTTTCTCAAGGCACCTTATCCTTCCATGATTAACATGAACAGAAAAAAACTTCCTTTGCACGTACATTAGTCTCTTTTCTCAGAGTAACTGGTTTATGTCAAAGCTTAAAGTTATCTATTTTCAACAAATCGGGCTTTTAGAGTGGTTTTAAAATAAACATTTGTAGAGCATACCACTCTTTCTTACCTGAACAGAGTTGCTCGACTTTTGTGTAGTTTAAAGCTAATATATCATTAACCCATGCGATGATGTCATGTCTGCTCATAGTCTCTTGGGTTATAGAGGTAGAGTACACGTTGACCGCCATTCCCCAACTAGGAAAAAAAAAGGACAAAAAACAGTTTTGGCATTTTGATAGTTGTTTTCTGGACACAACAAATTTACACTTCCTGTTAAAAACAACAACAACAAAAACAACACAAAAACACCAAGAAGAGAAAGAAAAGCTGCATCACTGCACAACCTTCTCTTATGTACTGAGATTGGAGATTTACTTTTTATTTGTTGATGCTCTATAGCCCCCTCAGTGCCCTCTTGGAATATATGAACATATTTCTCTGGCTGTCACTGAATTTAAAGAACATACAAATCTACAGCATTCTGCTTAATGCTAATAAGGTAGGAAAAAGAGTAAGACATAGCCTGCAGATATACAGTCAGGATCAGAGACCTGGGATCTGTCACGTAGTGCTGCACAAATATAGTGATCTGACATACATCTGTCAGCTTTTTGCTGCTGCAGGATGATCAGACTGCCTAAATGAGTATTTAATTTTCAGATACCTTCTAGAAGATGCAGCAGTTCTACTTACTCAAATACCGATTTCTCACATGTTCAGGGGCCTTATGGATCACTAATTCCATTTCCAGCAATCATAGAATGAATACCAGGCAATCTTTTTTATCAATTCACCAACTTCTATCCTGAAATTAACTGAGACTTGCACCCCCAACCATCTGCTTGGAAAGCTGGTCTGGAGCCCAATTCCTCTAAACTGTTAGGAACGTTCCCTCTTAGCTTAAACCCATTTGTTCTTCTGCCAATATTATCCTTCAGCTCTAATGGCTTTTTCTTCCCCAGAGCTGATTTCATAATGTGTTAGGGAAAGCAGTCAGTCTGTCTCAATGCCCAGGTAGTATAGAGCAAACAAATTAATCCTCCGAGTCTCTTATCAACTCAGACCTTCACTTCCTGCTCATGCCAGCAGTCCCCCTTGAACATAGCCAAACAGTTTCAAACTGAAACACTGGGACAGTGTTTCACCAAGACCGTGTGAAACAGCAGTCTGTGCTGAAAATTTTCATAGCCACATCATCTTAAGAAGATTCATCTAGTTAGCTAAGGTCCTTTCCTGCAAGCAAGTAATTCATAGTAGCTTTTATCATCAGCCCCCAAGTACACAGACTGGAAACACATACTGCTGGATTTTATGTTCTGTTATTCTACACTAGTCACATCTTCCTGTTACAAGACATTACAAAGAGAAAAGATGGGCACATCTAAGGTCATCTCATCGATAGTTTCAAAGAGGTGAAGCAAAATCATTCATGAAAAGAGTAAATAATGGTCCCAAGACTAGTGGAGTTCAGGAAGCCTGCTAGTAACAAATCCAAGTATGATGTGAACATATGACTATTTGATCAGAAATGATCAAATAGCCTAAATAGCACTATTATTCTTGTAAAGAAAGGGTTTGGTGGGGACCGCACACTTATTTCTCTAGTGACACCTTGTAGCTAACACTTAACTGGCTAGCTTTGGTGCCGGTTCTGATACCTCAGCCTTGCACCTCAACTTCCTCTCTCAGTGAAGGAGAGCAGGATCTCTTCTGTGGGATCTGAGGTCTGCACTGACAATTTGCAGAGGTAACCATTTGAAGCTTAATAGACAGTTCTGCAGAAAACACGAAGACCACAGGGGTAACTCTGCCCATAGTGAGGTATGCCGGGGCAACTTAGGTCAAATGTGTGGAAAAAAAACCCCACCAGCATGAAACCTGACTCAGTAAGATGTAAGTATGTACGGGCCTTCTACACACTCCTGTATGGGCACTTCTGAACTACAGAACAAATCAGCCTGTCCCTCCTCAGTCAGTTCAGTCCTTCCTCCCAGACAGCACAGCTAATTGCATGAACTGTACAGCACTGCATTCACTGTAACACTTAGCAAAGGTCGTTTTCTTGGCACATGCTAAGTGCTTGGATTGAACTAAGCGCTAGGAACAAAGTTCGAGAAATTGGGAGTGCCCTTTTATTCTTAAAACCACACCGCAATGGCTAGCCATGAAAGCTTAGAGTCAACATCAGGATGGAAGGGACCGAGCAAACAGCACCTTTGTTATTAATAGCTTCTGAAGTTAACACCACCACTGCTAGCACGGTTTTTACTTTGTTGTTTTCAGACTTTTTATATAGATAAGAAACTAACAGAAATACACTATCACTGTCACTATTAAACTAACATGTTAAATATTGTTTGTAAGATCAGTTCAAGTAACAGCTTAACAGTGAATTTAACATTCATTTAAGATTCACAATACTGGGTTTAATATGCAAACAACCGTTCAATATGGAACAGTCTGCTAACTTTTAAACAAGCTATTTAGATGATGACAATTGAAATAAAGATACTCTGATCTGTGATTGCCACTACTTCATCCAATTTTAATAGGCCTCTCGAGGCCTGCTAGAACTCCGAACAACCATCAGCTACCAGTGGTTAAAGAAGAAAGTGTACTCTCTTAAAAAGACCTTATTAGTGTATATAAATATATAAAGGGGGAGTGTCACGAGGATGGAGCCAGGCTCTTCTCAGTGGCAAACAATGAAAGGACAAGGGGTAATGGATACAAATTGGAGCACAAGAGGTTCCACTTAAACCTGAGAAGAAACTTCTTCTCAGTGAGGGTGACGGAACACTGGAACAGGCTGCCCAGGGAGGTTGTGGAATCTCCTTCTTTGGAGACATTCAAGACCCGCCTGGACACGTTCCTGTGTAACCTTATCTAGGTGTTCCTGCTCCGGCAGGGGGATTGGACTAGATGATCTTTTGAGGTCCCTTCCAATCTCTAACCTACTGTGATACTGTGATACTGTGAAGATCAGGAAAATCCACAAGCAGGAAGGAAGCAGAAATTCTTCCTTCACCCTTTTCTAAAAGCAACTGCAAAGAGAAAGACCTATCTTTCTGCAGAACAACAAACAACCTCCTTTGCTGCAGCGCATGGGGTGGGCAACTCCACTTCAGGAAACTGTGAGTAAATGAATAACCTTGAGCTTTACAATGATATCCTGAAGGATATCTGTAATATAACTTACATTGTGCCTGAGAATGAATTATTGCAGTCTATAGGTCAAATGCAAGCCCAGGCTATTTATCAGAGACAATAGCTTCACATTTATACACACAGGTAGGCATGAGGGTGGACCAACACAGTGTTAAACCATATGCAAAATTAATCAGAACTTTCGATAAAAAAAAATAAATCAATAACATGCCAGTGCAATTTATTCTCAGTGACATGTTAATACATGTCTGAATCCTGCACGTCCCCTTCTGAAGGGCTTCAGCGTGCATTTGCATCCGCTGTCACGCACCCTCCTAATGGTTACAGTTTAAATAAACTCAGCTGGGAAGGTTTCCTCTAGTGTAAACATGTTCCCATTTGGTGCTTAGATACACATATATCCTGTTTGCCACACAGACAGACCTTGAAAAAAAAAACCCACAAAGGAGAAGAAAAAGAGCAAACAGGCATAGGTGGCAGAGCCATGGCCAGCAACAGACAAGAACTGTGCTTGACATTCACAGCTGGGCTCGGGCTTTCTTCAGGACTGTTCCCTAAGTGCTGAACTACTTGGAAAAATGTGATCCAAATTCAAAACACATTAATAAACATCTGTAAGGCAATGCTACAGAACAGCTGGACAGGTGGAGATACACAGAACATACTCCGAACAGCCAAAGTAGCTAACAACTTGGTCATATGTCTTAATATACCTCTACTTCCCAATGACATTATTTACATTTTCTACTTGTTAGGCTTTCCTTGTTTAGATTGAACACTCTCAAGAATAAGATACACAAGCCTGAAAAACAGCATCTACCTGAGACCCTCCACCTTCCATAGAGATGCCTGGCAATTCTCCAGTAGCTAAAAACAGATTGAAGATAGCACATTATATTCCCACTTCAGAGCACACAGGTGCTTAAAACCTTCTGTTACAGTACTGCCCAACTAGAGAGGACCCTCCCTTGTTTTACTTAGGAGAAACTGAAAAAAAAAATCCTCAGTAAATACAAACAAGCCATTGGAGAGTCTTCACATGGTAGTCCAGACCATTCACTTTATACACGCGCAGCTAAGCACCACAAAGCTGAGTTCAGAGGAATGGAAATATAGCAAATAGGATAGAATATAAAGACTAAGAAATAGATAATTTTCTGCTTTGATTTTATAGTATATACATTACATTAGGAGGGTGAAACTAACAGAATAAAATGAAAAAAAAAAAACAAACCAAAAAACAAACCAAAACAACCCAAACCCTGAAACCCAAAGTGTAACAGTACACTTTCAGGAGGAACCTGAAAGAGAAGAAAAGTGATTCCTTTTCCCAGTTTTGCTAGAAATCTATTCATAGTGCAGACAAGTAATATTTGGAAACTGTGGCAGGCAATTCCTTCTCTCATACTATTCATAAGTCTTAAAATTTATAGAGGCAATTGTGAAAGAGCTTAGAAAAAGATGGAAAACCATATTCTGATTTTTCAGATCAGAATACTTTTCATGTTTAAGATTTAGTTAATTTATTTTTTCCTTGTATTTGTGTGGGCTTAGGGTTCAGTAAGGAGCTGATATCGCAGTATATAATGTGCTGGCTCTAGGTACCTTATTTATTTATTTATTTATTAACAAATACCTATGCCTCCCAGGAGAAAGTATCCAGCAACTTGAAGAAAATCCATGCTGCAATTACTGTTGTGGGAGACTTGTCTAAACCACCTTTAAGCTAGTTAGCTCAGAAACTTAAAGTAGTATGGAACTTTATGTAATTGTAGAATCCACCCAAGCAGTTTTCCAAGGACTTGGGCAGTGAACTTGTACTGTGTTCTGTGTTGTTCCAGTTTCTTTGTTACGACCATATAGAATCTTGGTTTAAAGCTGTCAAAGTATGTATGGAGGGTTGTGCTTATGGCAGAATTCTGTTGTCATGCTGTCAGTATTGTTAGGTGCTGAAAATCATGTATATGCTTAAGCAGTTACCTCAATCAGAAATACAGTCAGTGGCTCAGCATGTCTGATGGTAAACA